AAAAAAAAAAAAAAGAGACCCAAGTATTTTTGGAACTAGTATTTGTACATGAATGCAATGTAACTATGTTCAAACAAATACCATTAACAGCGGCACCATTTTTCAGAGGAGAAGACTCAGATGATAAGTCGCCATCACAATCGGCGCGATCAAAAGGGCGCTAAAAACTAGAAAAGTTAGTGGAATTTTCAAGCCCTTAAAATTATTTAAAGCGCAAACAGGCATAATTTATTCTCGCCTTAAGAGATCGAGCCCTTCTGTTTGGCGAGGATGTTGTTGGAAGACTTTCGGATTTCATGAAAGAACCATTCCTCATACCACTATGCCAACGCCGCGGTGACCTTTGGTCCGAAAAATCTAGGAGATTCCTTAGCTATTTTACAAGAAAACAGACACAAAATTATTGGTCCAACGCTTATCATAACCATCACCGTAGTCACAAAAAAATCATTCTGCTGTCTAAATATTGGATAGTGAAGACACTATGAAGTTTAATTAAATGCTAAAAATTAAAAGAAGACTGGACTTGATTGAAAAAAAATTATTAAAGAAAAGCCTACATAGGTGACTTAATTCAGCAACGCTTTTGACAATTTTATCGCGCCTTGGTGCAACTGATAGCTAAAATAGAAAGTTTTAAAGAAGAACTTAAAATTACTGTCAAAGTTTCAGAAAATTGAAACAAAGTGCTTAATACAAATAAACACAGAACAAAAAGATAAAAACAGAAAAAAGAAAGCTGAATAAGTACACATACCTTATCGATTATAGCATCAGTATTAATATCATTTTTAATCAAGGACTTTTTGAAAATAGGTTCAGCGCATTTAGGGCAACGTCTTGAACCATTAATGCATCCAGCACAAAACCTGTGCAAGCACTAAAAATGAATATATACTTATACAGTATATATTTATTCAGTAACTACTGCATAGAACAACGTTTCAGCTTAAATACTGTTGAACTACAATGTCGATAACTAAGAAAACAATCAAACGCCAAAAATTTCCAAAGAAGGGAGCAAAAAACTGCTAAATGCATAATTATCCCATTCCCATCACCCCTTAAATAACGTTAACTTCAATTAATCGAGCCAAAATACAAACCGGCGTCACTTTAGTTCTTTTTAAAGTCTGATTACATACTGGACAAGTCAGCTCTGTTAACCACTCTTGTCTTACTTCGCCAGTGTCAACGGAACGTACTTCCGGCAATTCCCGTTGAGACTCATAAGGATACAAAGTCAACGTCTTATCAAGACGCGAAGACGAGGTCGACCGACTCTTCTCGATCATGACCTTTTAAAGACGTTGGAGGAGCTAAAAAACATCGAGTTTCAACATGATTAAATGTGTGTATTCGAAAGAAAAGGGTGCAGCGTAGCTAACTAAGAAAAAAATGAGAATGAAAGCATTTATGGAAATTAATATCATATTTTTCGAAAATCCCTACTATGCATAAATCGCGATAAAACTAAGCCCTTCAAACGCTAAAACTACCTGAACTAAGATCTTTCCGAAAAGGCTCCTACCTTATAACTGCCACTAAGTAATAAGGCCGGCAAGATGCTAACACATTAGAACATAACTTACATACTGTTCAGAAGTAACAAAAGTAAAATAAGTTGCATCACTGTTAATTAAACCCTTTAAAAAATTTCTAAAGAAAAAATTGCTTCTGCTAACATAAGCGGTAGATGCTGCGAAACTAACTAGCTATAAATAAATAAAAGAAAAACAAAGCTACAAATAAACATGCGGTTGAACATTTTAACGAATATCGCAGAAAGCAATTAATTCTGAAAAGACAAAACTGTTAATCCTACGAATTCTTCCAAAATCAAAGAAGATACAATAAGAACCTTTCAAAATAACGCTTAGTATCTCGATAAAAAACAAAAAAAAAAAAAAAAGAACGACTAGTTATGCATAATCCATAAACCAAAAGTAACACCGTAAAATCACAAAAAAACACAATCAGTTGAGGAAATCCTTAAACTGTAAAAGAATGTCAACACAGTACAAAAGATATACGCATATATACACAGCTAAGCCTAAAAGCCACTTACCATTTACCGATAGCTGATAGAAAGGATCACTCAGTTCAAAAACGCTACTTAACAGCTGATTGAAAAAAAAATGCAGAAACGCTACCGCAATAAACAAAATGTACGCTATACACAAACACACATACACCCAACTACACACATCAATATATAACAACAGACCAAAGAGCTGTACGCAATTGTTCGTAGCGTTTGAAAAAATGACAGCTGGATTGAAATGGCTTTTTGGAGCTTTGCCAAACTAAACGTTGTAAGAATTGTTGTAAGAATAATACAACTATAAATTATTTTAAAAATTTATTAAACTGTTGCTTTATGTACCAACGATTTATTGTATGCTTATTCGGGGGAAGATAGAACGTTTTTTTCTGCATCATCACTATTTGTGCTGTTCTTTTCTTTAACTTAGCATTTTTCACTACATTAGAAAAAAAAAGATCCAGTATAATTGTGAAAAAACGATAGGACAAAGTTATGGTGATATATTATTCAGCATTAGCTGTATCAGTGATATAAGCTGGTCTGATCACTACTGCACAAATTTTTTTTAAGTTGATGTAACAGGAGAATAGCATATTTGGCGATAAAAGTAAGCATTATAAAAGCAAAAAGGAAAAAAGACAGGAAAAAAAGACTGAAGTTTAAAAAATTAACTTCTTAATAAATAATTGTGAAAAATAAAAAGTTATTGAATCATGGAAACAACATTTTGATCACTTTTTCAATAAAAGTTTTATGTTCTGATGTGCTCAAAAATTTGTTCAGTTCAAGGCCATGAAAATGAATAATTACTGCTGAACTGCTTCAGTAGCCATATTTTCACTTTTAAATGCCACTATTGCGCCCAAAACCAAATAATCAAAATTTTTTTGTTAATTTTATCTTTAAAAACGCAAGTTTTACAGATATTACCTTGAAACCGTAGAAGAAAAAAAAAATTTAGAATTGAAGATAAATTTTTCGGTGGCTGAATCATAGTTTCTGAACCGTGAATAGTGGTCAGCGGATGTTGATCAAATGAGGGAAGTAAAACGATTTTTTTTACCCACAAAAATAAACAAATTCAATAAAAAAATTTTTTGTTTCCTCTAATTACATTTGTTGATTGGAGAAAAGAGCATTTTGAAGAAACTAGTGTTGCTTTCCAATTAGAATTTACATTGAGAAAAAAACACCATTTTGCAAACGGTGTACACCTTGTGTGATATACGCAACGAACTTTACATTATTTTAGTTATTTTAGTTACAAAGTTGATGGTTTTCAACTTTCAGTTAAAACCTTTTTTATAATAAAATATCAACAGTTTATCATAAAAGTACATATTTTAAATACAATAGAACAAGAGCGACTTTCTACTTAAGTAACGTGGGATAAAAAACGTGACAAAATATGAATCAAACCAAAGAAAACTTATAAAACAACATATTGTTTAAAATTTCAGACCACAAAAAATTATACTTTTGGGTAGGTGCTGGCTAATATTAAAATTGTTTATGACCACCAACTTTGCAATTTATACACCCATATCCTACCCCTTTAGCGATCTGAGGTACTTTTCTGCCGTTAAACTGTGCCATTTAACTGCAGCTCTTGTTCACGCAGTTCTTCTTCGATTGTTCTACTGATATGTACATTTATAATAAAAGTTCTATGAAATATTTGTGAAGATCCGTTATTCTATACAATAAGCCACTTACTCCTATTAGAATTAAAGCATTTTAAAAATTTTCAGTTTTTTTGACAGTCAGGCGCTTTTCTGAGCAAAAATACCATGACGGTTGAGGGTTAGAGAAGGAACATTCAAACTGTTTATTACAATCCTTCTCTTGTTTGAGACATTTTCCTGCAGCACAATAATGTCAACAAGCTTTTTAAAATTTGTCGACTCTAACAGAATTTAATCTCCTATTGATGTTGTACAGTAAACCAACCTTTTTCCAATCTATAAAACGTCATTCTTGTCTCATATTTATCACTGTCGCCGAGGTTGAAACAGCCGTTTAATTGGAGCATTCTTTTATTCTGAGAATACTTTTGACTTCAAAAAAAATTATATTTTTGGGTAGTCTTGATAAGCAAAACCTTGGATAACAGTATTATTGTCCGCCAAAGTTCCCTTTTCCTTTCCACTAGTCCACTTATTTGTAAGTCAAAAACAAAAAAGTTGGAAGGGGAAAACCTAGATAATTTTGGTTTGTATCGAGAAAAATAAAATTATGAAAAAAAGTTTTTTTTTTTTGATTTAAACTACATCTTCCGTCCAGTATAACTTCAAGAAAAAAAAAGAAAATTGCAGAAGATTTTCTTTTCTAAGTCTTCTGCATTTTCTTTTTTTTTTATAAAGAAACTCTTAAAGAGCATAAAAGCAATGTTTAAATTATAAGTGGAAAACTAAATTTGACCTAGTTTTTTTTCTAAAACTCCTGCAGAAAATTTTTCTTTGTTAACCGCTTAAACTTAATTTCCAGAGTGGAGGAACAATTGCAAGAAGAACAGTATCCTTAAGAACGTTTAGCAAACAACAAATAAATTGATAGGAGGTCATGTGGGTCACCCTTGTATTTTATTCAGCGGTGTTAGTGGGTGTGTGCATTCACTTTGCTTTAAAAGAACATTTTTGTACAATCTGTAAAAGTTGGATGCAGCTTATCGTGTCCACTAGGTTCCTCTCATGTGCAGTTCTTATAATATGTCTTAAAATGCCTCTTAACTTACCTTCATTAAAATGTTACATGACTATCAAAATTGAGTGAACGCAATAGGCTGAAGAGAGGACGTCTATAAAACATTTTTCAACATGATCATCTGCCCAGACTTCTGAGTTTAAAAACAATAACACAGTGGAATTTTTAAAGTGAAATTCTATTCTGAACTTTGAAAGTTTAAATTCTGTGACAATTTTCATACAGAAAGAATCGTAATTGACAAAAATTTTACAATTCTATATTGAAGTAAGTAAGTTA